GGTTGCTGGCGAAGCCGTCGGGGAAGTAACGGTCCCTTCTTGCCGCGTTTCTGTGAATCTTACAGATTTTATCCACAAAACCTCCAAGGGGGATGCGTGTACTTAAATAATGCTGTTCTGGAGTTCCCCATGGGAAAAAGGAATGCAGTGCACATGGAGAAGCACAGGGGGAGGGACGGAAGCAAAGTCACAGACTGTATCAAAAAAGAAAGACGTATAGATACCATTAACTCTTTCTGAAGGGACTGAGTAACTGCTGAGTCTGCAACATGTTTTGTGCAAGAGAAACGGAAATCAGAGGTGGTTACTGTCCACTTGGAAAATAATGTGACAAGGGATCTGTGCCATCTTAGTCCAGAAATCCCCATCCTGGCAAGAATTTGGAAGAAAATAATCTTTGGAAGCACAAGACAGCAAAAGAACATTTCCATGTTAAGTTCTTACACTGCGATATGGGTGATCACCAAAATGATTCCCAAGGATTGGAAGGGGAGTTTTACTCCGGAATGACTAAGGAAGTGTATTTGAATGGGAATGACTGAGCAGCACTCAAGTCACAAACATTAAATTTTATTTTAGATAATTTGCCAGCTATAAGGATAACCAACTAACTGCTCCAGGCTTTGTTGGATGCATCTTTCTAGCTTGTGCAGTAGGTGTTTCTGTACATAGCTCTTCATCACTGAATGGGCTGGTGTCTCAGCAGCTCTTTTTATTTTAATATTTTTATGACTGTGTAGCAGCATGGGCTGTTTTTTTTCTAGGTGTTAGACGCAGGCCTGTGGCTGGGGACTGCCACAGTGTTGAAGGATGGCCCCCAGATTCGGGGAGGGGAAAATGCAGCAAGAGGAGGGGTTCATGGGTTTGTTCATGGTCATCGTGTTGGTGCAAAACTGCAGCTTCCCGGGAGAGGCACAAACCGGTCACGTCCCGCGCACATCCCGTGGCCACGTCCTTACTCGAGAGTGACAAATTTGCCGTGGAATCTTTGCTGTCCCCCCGGAACGATGTCAGCCTTGGAAACCCGAAATTAGCCGTGGTGGGACTTTTCTTTACGATTCAGCGCCGTGAAGACAGCCCAAATTCAATTTTTAGGTTATTAAGATATCCCTTTGCCTCAGGACAACCGTGTTGGCAGAGTTTTATTGCTTTAATCTCCCCGAATTTAATCACTTCAGATGTTTGACAGCTGCATTAGCATTCACGATTTCAGCAATACCTTGATTCGTTGGCCCGGCCCAGAGCGAGTTTCTTGCTCTGCCACAACACCGGGCTTGATGCCGCTGTTGCTGCCGGAGTCCGGGGTTTCAGACATACCTAAAACCTAGAAGAAAGCGCCCCGTTTTGTTGTGCACATTCTTGCATTTTTTTTTCCATCTTCATTTGACAGAGCAGATTTTTCCTATGTTACATGTCACACAAGATGCCTTTTGATTCATCTCGCACGCACTGGTTGATGAACCTGTAGAAAGAATGCAACATTTTGGTGATTTTTCATCCCATTTTTTTTTTTATTTTCCACACCAAATTTAGCTATTTTGAGTTGCTTCAGAATTTCTCTGGTCACTCCTGGCAAGGGTAGGAGCCTGCAGCAGACAGAGAACCCCCTGCTCATTACTCTGCTTTCTAGAAAGCTGATCCTTACCAGTTTTCCCCTTCTTGCTCACATGAAAATGCTGTTTGGTGACAACACTGCTGCCTGCAAAGTCAGGTGGGAACAAAGCAGCCAAATCTTAACTTCAATAAAACCTCAAACACATTTTTTTTTTCAGAAGAAATTACTTACATGTTCCTTTTTAATAAAGTTATAAAAATACGTAGAAATCAAGTGTCTTAGAAAACAGCTACAAAAGGCCCCATAGAAATGAGGCAGCTGCACTTCAATGTGTGATGCAGCAAATATGCACTTGGCTCTAGAGCCTCACAGCAACCCCTGCATCGCTCAGTTTTCAAGGGTAACAATCTTCTGTCCATGATACGGTCCTCCATGGCAGGGAAATAGCAACAAAATTCAGTGTTTTCCTCAGTTTCACCCCCTTTTTTTTTGTTAAGAGCCTGCACAAAACCTACCCCATTTTCCACCCAACTTCAGTATGAGAGAATCGATCTGTTCCCACGTGTGAACTGCGGTGACCCGGTATTTCAGCCAGCACCGTTCTCGCTCGCCAGCACCTTTGCTCAGGGAATGAAATCTGCTTTTTTTCCCGAGAAAACAGCGTGGAAATGGCGCCGTTGCGCGCAGTCACAGCGACAAGGTCACGTCAGCCGCGTGCGCCTGCCCTTGAGCTGCTTCACTTGGCGTCCCCCGAGAACGGGACAAAGCAGCGGGCAGAGCCACCGACAGCGTTAAAAATCCCATTTTACTTCACAGAAAGTTATTTGAACCTTTGAGGATTTGCATTAAAGAAAAAGAAAAAACACACACTAGCATCGGACTGGAATTTCCCAAAAATAGACTTGGCAGAAGAGCCTTTTGATGGAGGAATAGGAACAGCCGGAGGCTCCAGCCGCTTCCCTCACTCCGGTGACAGAAATTGAGCCTCAGCACTGAATTTAGGCTTCTCTGCAATGGAAATAGTCAATATAGAGAAAACGTTGACCCTAAAATATAATTAAAAAATCATCTGGTAAACCCTTAAGGAAGAGGCTTGAGAAAGACTCTCCAGATCACAAGTATCGGGAAAGGAAATAATTCATAAAAATCGTGAAACAATTTTTGTTCATATATTGAATACCCAACAGCAGCATGTAGCGATTCCAGCGCAGGGTAGACTTCGCGCCAGCCACATTTTGGTTCCCAAGAAAAGGTTCTGTCCTTTGCTGAATAAAACGGGGAGCTGACGCTCACTGGAGCTGTATCCACATCCCACATCGTAGCTCATTATTAGGCAGTGCCAAGTTTGCTGTTTCTCATCTTCTGAGAACAGTCGGCCCGAGTGGATGAGCTGTTAGGTGATCAGCAAGGGCCACAGCGAAGACTGCGCCTCTGTGCAGCCCAGGGCCTCATGTTTGCACTGGAATGCAATTCCACGGTTTGGCTGTTTTTCCCCTGCTTCGTGGAAATTTTCGCTGCTCTCAGGCTGCATTTGCGTCTCTCCCTGGCTGCAGTGATCCCCGGC